TTTACTGAAAAATTTAAGCTTGCTCAGATTAAATGTAAACAAAACAGCTCGAATCAGTGCAGAATCCCAAAATTTCCGACTGCGTCTGTGGAGTAGTGCTCGCCTAGAAAAAAAAACAATACAATTAACAAAAGTATTAAAAAGACCAAGAAGCACGCCGCAATTCAATATAAAACCATTTCTAAAACAGATTAAAACTCCGCTTTAGCGTCAGTAGCACATAATATACATTTCAAGCTCTGATTGAAAAATTTATAGCAGTTTTGCATAAATTTCTGAGTCGAACAAAAAAAAAATGATGTGAAATTGCATCTCTCAAAAAAAGAAATCGAAATTTTCAGTACTTACTGCTTTTTCCTGATCAAAATGTGCAAATTTTGTTCCTTTGATGCAAGCGGCTCGCTGTCTTACGGATTTTAAAAAAATTTCTGTTCATTCAATGATTCAGCCAAAAATATGTTTCTAATTCACACAGGGAATGAAAGAATTTTATGCTCGCGAGGTTTCATAGGAACAGTATTTTTGAAAAATTTGCTTTCTAAGAGTTTCGACTATCGAAGAAAAAGACGGATTATCTATGACATAAGTGATATAGGTTGTTATTCGTTTCATTCCCTGTGTGAAAACAAAATGTTAGAAAAACATTTTTGTCTGACTCATGAGTTGAAACAGAAAAATTTTTAACCTCAAAGACAGTGAGCCCCTTACATCAGATGAAAAAAAAATTGCACATTTTGATCCGCAAAATATCAGTAAGTACTAAAAAATTTCATTCCGTTTTTTTTTGAGAGATGCAATTTCAAATCACAATTTTTTGTTCGGCTCAGAAAATTTCGCAAAAACTGCTAGAAATTTTTATATAAGAGCTTCAAAATTTGAGTTTATATTAGTTGTTTTTTAAATTTCCCAAATTTGTTGTCATTTTTCAGATAGAAACTAATTATATCAATATCTAGAAGCAAAAAGTAACATAATAGTAACCAATTAGTTTTGTCTTTCTATTTGTGTTACTTTTTTTTCTCCAGTGTATTTGAATGAACAACTTACACCAATTCCACATGAAAGTTGAATCAAACTAGCAAATTTTTGAATTTTGAATTGTATCTACAAATTTACAGCAACCACTACATGGAAATTTATAATATTGAGAATTTTTCATCCAACATATTATCTTCAGCATTATGCAAAGTCTATTTACCCGTACCGATGATTTTTTATTACTTCTGACCTGAAGTACCTCATATCTAATCTAAATTTCTGGTAAGAAATTTTTTTATTAAATGTTTAAACAAAGCAGGAATTTTCTGAAAATTCTTTATTTCTGAACAGAAATTAGCTGAATCTAGGCTATTTCGAGCTAGAAAAAAGTTTCCTGGTTGAAGTCGAACCTCGAACCTTCATTTTGCTAGGCGGTCATGCTAACCACTAGGTCACATTCCTTGATTAAGAGGAAATTTGAGCAATCTTATCCAAAGTAACACTTGTTAATTTGAATTGTATTGCTACTGCTGTTGTGTATACTCGAAGAATGATTATCTAGTTGCGTTTGAGCAGTGAACTGATTTCTGGATATTTTTTTCCAGAAACTTTTCATTTCTAAACTAGTTCTGTATAGAAAATACGGGAAAACTTGGCTTGATAATCTATATAAGACTTCGATCTAGAAAAACAGGCTCCGTTGGGTACGGGTAGAGTCATATCTGATTTTGAAAAGTGACATTTCAGGAAAAAAGCTCTTCATCAGAAACTATTTCAGTTTCGCTGATTTGTTTCGCTGACATCGAATATAAAAATGTGAGTTGATCGGCTATTGTCGACATTTGCAGTAGGCCAAAATCAAATTGAGGTTGTGAGAGGAGATGTGATCCACAACCGCCTGCACAATAAAAAAAATAGCTGGAGCTGCAAAAAAATTAGCACAAAGCGTCATTTATTTCAATGTAAACAGGAATTTATGTAATCAATAATTTTTTTGCACCGTCATTTCGGTAAAAGAAAGACAAATTATATCGGGCAAATTGGAAATTGGTAATCATTAACTGATCCTTTCCTGTTCGAGGTTCGGAGTTGCAGAATTTGGCAACTAATACAAGAAAAGGTGCATTGAATGTAAAGTTAAGCGCCAGCACGGCCAACCAGCATTTTCGCTGATGCGGAAAATATGAATCAAAGAAAGGGTCGTTATTTTAGTATAAACAGACAAACTGGAAATTGGTAATCATAAACTCTCATAAACTGATCGGTTTTCTGCGACTTTGTTTTGTTCGACTTCAGCAATTAAGCAGAATAATATTGAGGGAATGAGACGAGGAAGGGTGCATGGGACGTTAAATTCTTGGCGTTATCAGCCCGTGTAGCCAAAAAATGTTTGCGAATTTTTACGACTAGCTTCATTTTGAGAGCATTATGTTTTCACGAGGTTAATGAAGTCTACGGAAATAGGTCGTTAAAACTGAACGGTGATCAGTAGTACTACAATTTATCACAAACTGGAGTGTACAGTGCTGTTTTGCTGAGGGGGCAGTTTTTGAGCAAAGTGATGCAGATAACCATTCACAAAGTTCGTGTCTTCGTTTCTTCGAGGGCCTCGTCTTCTTCCAACCCTACGCTTATAGTTAGATTCTCAAAGTATGAATTAACATCGAAAGAACCGCTTATTTTGGATTCGAAATCCGTCTTCGGCTTTAAATTTCTCCGAGGAAGAGAAACAGGCATTACACCTGTTATTTTTGCACGACAGATAGGACACGAACTCACCTGTAAAACACACTCGTTACATGTGCTGAGATGTCCACACATGACCAAAACCCGACTCGCTTCTTTTTCCAGACATACCGAACATAGTCCGGACTCCTCGGCATCTCGAACCATGCTCGTCGCCTGGCGTTCCCCTAAAGTTAATGGACCCAGCATCTCCTGCGTGAACAAATCATGGGGTTTTTCAATAGAGGGACGGGGGTAGTTGACTACAGAGTAGTCACACCCCATCCCCAAGAACAACTCTTCAAAATTGCTCGCGTCCCATTTGTGACTGGATTCCATCATGACGAAATCGGTTTTGCGAAACTCAGAATCGGGATGTGCAGAATCTTGAAATTTAACGGCTTTTACCTCAGTATATTGAGCATCTTGCAAACCAGGTGTTCCGTGACCAAGAGTTTCAGAGGAATCTGCTTTCGAATTCGGTGTTTCAAGATTGGATGGTTCATGAGATGCCCCTGGCTCTTTTTTAATTTCTTTCTTAACGGCTTTTATTCCTGGGTAATCACCATCTTGTAAGCCAGGTGTTCCATGACCAGGAGTTACAGAGGCATTTGTTTTCGAATTTGGTCTTTCCAGGTTGGATGGTTCTTGAAATGCCCCTGGCTCTTTTTTAATTTCTTTCACGTCATAATTTTGCATTGTGATGTCTTCATTGTAATTTGTGTACTTTTTTTCTTGTGACCCCTGCAAATTTAATTTAGACTCTGTGTTCAAATTTGATTTGGCCTTGAATGAAATCGAAGAATCGCCGACGTTTGCTGATCCGCATTTCAGATCATTCAGGTACGAATAGAAGGGAGATCTGAGAAGTCGCTCGAAGAAGTCGTCATTTATAGTGGCTATATCAGTTTTCATTTTTGACTCCCCAAATTGCTGAAGTGAGTGTACAAATTTACCACCTAAATAATTGGGGCAAGCATTCAGAAATTCTTGTTTTATAAGTTTTTATTTGCGATTTCCACTTGCATGCTACTTCGACTAAAAAACGACTATGCTCTGATCTACATTTTTTATTCAAAAGCGCATGAGAGGGTAATGAACATTTATGAACACGTTCGGTGCTGTTCCAGAAGCAAATGACATTTCTTAAAACATTTGCAACGTTGAACAGTTGAGTCTTCATCTCAATCATTTTGATTTTTCAACTTTTTTTGGAGCCCGTAATGATTTTGTGGTCTGGTCTTCCCTGAAAATTCGTTCTTTTGACACCAAATGAGAAGGTTTTTGCCAAAAAAAAAACATTTCAAGCCTTTTCCAAAGTGAGGTTGCCCAATTTGACGATAAAAAAATAACAAGATTGCTCGTATCAGGGCAAAGCACTGAATGTTCCGACTGTCTTTTACGGTCTAGGGAGCAAAAATTAAATAAAAAACTTAAATGTAATTAAATACAATGAAATTTTTTTCTTACGCGTTAATAGCGCGAAACATATTGCGCGTTAATTGTCTCAAATTGGCCAAAATGGCAATTTTTAAACCCCCATATTTTTACGAAAAATGATCACAGGTGAAATATTTTTTTCAAATTTAACCTCAGTACAACAATACCTTTTGATTCAGAGAACAAAAATTCCATCAAAAATGGCTAACAACCCGATCACAAATATTCCGTTACTTTCGTTACGAAATTCGGAACAATAAAGTTTCCGTTCACTTCTTTAGTTTCATGAAATTTTAAGACAAAGTTCAATTGCGATTTTCGAAGCATAATTGCGGTTTTAGGAAGTCATACTGGATGTAAAAAGTTCGTCAAAAGGAACGAATTTTCTGGAGGGACTTTACCAAGTCATTACGGGCTCCAAAAAAGTTGAAAAACCAAAATGATCGAGATGAAGACTCAACAGTTAAACGTTGCAAATGTTTCAAGAAATGTCATTTGCCTCTGGAATACCTTAGACCCTGAAAAATAGTCGCTTTTTAGATTTAAATATTATAATAATTGTTTCAAAATCCTCTAACCGTAAAAAAGTTTTAATTCGAGGCTTCCATTTGCAACAATGGAACATAGTCATGAATAGATATTTTTCTATGAAGAAAGTTTTTCTAAATTCTTCTGCATTAATGCTTTTCACAGTATTTGCTCTCATATTTATTTTACCAATTATTTATCAACCAGCGAATTTTATCAATTTTTATACTTCTCACCAAAAAATTCCACTTGATGTAAACAAATGATGCATATAACATTAGAGAGAAAAGAAAGTTTTTTTGATTTTTAATTTATTTTGATTATGCAAATTAAATTAGGTTCTTTCTTCTTTCTTCACGCACAAGCTTTTTGGGGAGCCAGATAAAAAAGATCCCTTTTTGTTTTCCTCCTTTTGCCAAATGCGGACTGTCTCCCAAGTTGTGACACTTCGGATTATGCTTCATATGCATCTCGGACAATTTGAGTGCTAGAAAGTTACCGGAATCTTCAAGCTCTGCTTCGAATTCACATGACGTGCACTTGACCGAACGCTTGAAGGGCAGAAATCGAAGACCGCAGGCAGCTGCCTCGACGCATAACGCTTCGGACAACCGAACATATCTGTCAGTGAATGTGTACAAATTGTTGAATATGTTGAATGCTATTAAATGAGCCGCGTTGTCTTCTGGCCGATTTAGTATTTCGGTCGAAATTTCCACAAACTTTGCGTAACAACAACGTGGAGAAAACACAGAGTGCGCTCGAATTAGCTTTCGCAGCGATGTTTCAGGGCTTAAAAACTTGCAAAAATAGCATTTTAACATTTTAAACGTTTCAGAAAAGCAGTAAAAACCCATTAATGATAAAATAGCAGCAAACGTAGGCGTGAAACTGGACCATGCGCTAAGCTTCACAAGACTATCTTCTCTGTTTTCTCGTGACAAGAAATGATTACTTTCTTCGGAATCGTCTTCGAAAAGCGTCATAGCCATTTGTGATTCGTCTAAGCTCTCTTTCGGCCCTTTGTGTACCAACAAACCAAGCTAGCAACAACAAGATTAGTGATGCAAAATATGCGAAAAAGTAGAACCTTCGGTGTTTCTGGAAGTCAAATTGGACTATTGATGAAATTTTTCCGGAACTATTGATGATCTGACTGTCGCAAGTAATCACCTTTTGTAATTTCATCAGTGAAAAAAAAAACAACTGCCGGCTTCAAATAGAAAGGGAAAAACTTGATAGATAAAAATTTGGCGGAGAATTTTGCCCTTTAAAACATGATAAGCCTTTAAATTACACATTAGACACTGAAAAAAAGTTACTTTCAAACATTCATTTAAAATACATAATTTCTGAACTAAGCAAGATATTTAGCTGCCGCTTACATTGATAACAACCCGGTGTTGAGGTGGTCCACTTATGTGTAGACCGTATAGGATGACCAAATGTCCCCAAGATATTTATGCCGATAAAAATGTTGGTCGACCATGGTCGATAAATAGGTCGACCCAATCAACACAGTTGATGATAAGAAAAAGCTTCAATCCACTCCACGACACTCTTAAATTGTTCTTTCAGGTTTTGTCATTTAGCTTATTCATAAAGCATCAAGCGCGAAAAGAAAAAAAACAAAGGCACGTGAGTGCCAATTTTTTTCACGCGCAGGACTGCTTTGTACCTGTGAAACTAAACAAACGCACAAAACAAATAAAACAAAGTAGGTTTTCACAGACAAATTAAGCAAAAGATCTAAGGTCGGTAAAATTAACGGTCGACCATGGTCGAAAAACAGGTCGAGCCAATCAACACAGTTTATGATAAGAAAAAGCTTCAATCCACTCCACGACACTCTTAAATTGTTCTTTCAGGTTTTGTCATTTAGCTTATTCATAAAGCATCAAGCGCGAAAAGAAAAAAAAAGAAAAGCACTTGAGTGCCATTTTTTTTCACGCGCAGGACTGCTTTGTACCTGTGAAACTAAACAAACGCACAAAACAAATAAAACAAAGTAGGTTTTCACAGACAAATTAAGCAAAAGATCTAAGGTCGGTAAAATTAACGGTCGACCATGGTCGAAAAACAGGTCGAGCCAATCAACACAGTTTATGATAAGAAAAAGCTTCAATCCACTCCACGACACTCTTAAATTGTTCTTTCAGGTTTTGTCATTTAGCTTATTCATAAAGCATCAAGCGCGAAAAGAAAAAAAAAGAAAAGCACTTGAGTGCCATTTTTTTTCACGCGCAGGACTGCTTTGTACCTGTGAAACTAAACAAACGCACAAAACAAATAAAACAAAGTAGGTTTTCACAGACAAATTAAGCAAAAGATCTAAGGTCGGTAAAATTAACGGTCGACCATGGTCGAAAAACAGGTCGAGCCAATCAACACAGTTTATGATAAGAAAAAGCTTCAATCCACTCCACGACACTCTTAAATTGTTCTTTCAGGTTTTGTCATTTAGCTTATTCATAAAGCATCAAGCGCGAAAAGAAAAAAAAAGAAAAGCACTTGAGTGCCATTTTTTTTCACGCGCAGGACTGCTTTGTACCTGTGAAACTAAACAAACGCACAAAACAAATAAAACAAAGTAGGTTTTCACAGACAAATTAAGCAAAAGATCTAAGGTCGGTAAAATTAACGGTCGACCATGGTCGAAAAACAGGTCGAGCCAATCAACACAGTTTATGATAAGAAAAAGCTTCAATCCACTCCACGACACTCTTAAATTGTTCTTTCAGGTTTTGTCATTTAGCTTATTCATAAAGCATCAAGCGCGAAAAGAAAAAAAAAGAAAAGCACTTGAGTGCCATTTTTTTTCACGCGCAGGACTGCTTTGTACCTGTGAAACTAAACAAACGCACAAAACAAATAAAACAAAGTAGGTTTTCACAGACAAATTAAGCAAAAGATCTAAGGTCGGTAAAATTAACGGTCGACCATGGTCGAAAAACAGGTCGAGCCAATCAACACAGTTGATGATAAGAAAAAGCTTCAATCCACTCCACGACACTCTTAAATTGTTCTTTCAGGTTTTGTCATTTAGCTTATTCATAAAGCATCAAGCGCGAAAAGAAAAAAAAAGAAAAGCACTTGAGTGCCATTTTTTTTCACGCGCAGGACTGCTTTGTACCTGTGAAACTAAACAAACGCACAAAACAAATAAAACAAAGTAGGTTTTCACAGACAAATTAAGCAAAAGATCTAAGGTCGGTAAAATTAACGGTCGACCATGGTCGAAAAACAGGTCGACCCAATCAACACAGTTGATGATAAGAAAAAGCTTCACGCGAAAATAAGGTCGGTAAAATTAACGGTCGACCATGATCGAAAAACAGGTCGACCCAATCAACACAGTTGATGATAAGAAAAAGCTTCACGCGAAAATAAAGTCGGTAAAATTAACGGTCGACCATGATCGAAAAACAGGTCGACCCAATCAACACAGTTGATGATAAGAAAAAGCTTCAATCCACTCCACGACACTCTTAAATTGTTCTTTCAGGTTTTGTCATTTAGCTTCTTCTTAAAGCATCAAGCGCGAAAAGAAAAAAAACAAAGGCACGTGAGTGCCAATTTTTTTCACGCGCAGGACTGCTTTGTACCTGTGAAACTAAACAAACGCACAAAACAAATAAAACAAAGTAGGTTTTCACAGACAAATTAAGCAAAAGATCTAAGGTCGGTAAAAATAACGGTCGACCATGGTCAAAAAACAGGTCGACCCAATCAACACAGTTGATGATAAGAAAAAGCTTCACGCGAAAATAAGGTCGGTAAAATTAACGGTCGACCATGATCGAAAAACAGGTCGACCCAATCAACACAGTTGATGATAAGAAAAAGCTTCAATCCACTCCACGACACTCTTAAATTGTTCTTTCAGGTTTTGTCATTTAGCTTCTTCTTAAAGCATCAAGCGCGAAAAGAAAAAAAAAAAAGGCACGTGAGTGCCAATTTTTTTCACGCGCAGGACTGCTTTGTACCTGTGAAACTAAACAAACGCACAAAACAAATAAAACAAAGTAGGTTTTCACAGACAAATTAAGCAAAAGATCTAAGGTCGGTAAAATTAACGGTCGACCATGGTCGAAAAACAGGTCGACCCAATCAACACAGTTTATGATAAGAAAAAGCTTCAATCCACTCAACGACATTCTTAAATTGTTCATTCAGGTTTTGTCATTTAGCTTCTTCATAAAGCATCAAGAGCTAAAAGAAAAAAAAAGAAAGGCACGTGAGTGCCAATGTTTTTCACGCGCAGGACTGCTTTGTACCTGTGAAACTAAACAAACGCACAAAACAAATAAAACAAAGTAGGTTTTCACAGACAAATTAAGCAAAAGATCTACGGTCGGTAAAACTAACGGTCGACCATGGTCGAAAAACAGGTCGACCCAATCAACACAGTTTATGATAAGAAAAAGCTTCAATCCACTCAACGACACTCTTAAATTGTTCTTTCAGACTTTGTCATTCAGCTTCTTTTTAAAGCATCAAGCGCGAAAAACAAAACAAAGGCACGTGAGTGCCAATGTTTTTCACGCGCAGGACAACTTTATACCTGTGAAACTAAACACACGCACAAAACAAGTAAAACAAAGTAGGTTTTCACAAACAAATTAAGCAAAAGATCTAAGGTCGCTAAAATTAACGGTCGACCATGGTCGAAAAACAGGTCGACCCAATCAACACAGTTTATGATAAGAAAATGCTTCAATCCACTCAACGACATTCTTAAATTGTTCATTCAGGTTTTGTCATTTAGCTAAAAGAAAAAAAAAAGAAAGGCACGTGAGTGCCAATGTTTTTCACGCGCAGAACTGCTTTGAACCTGTGAAAATGAACAAATGCACAAAACAAATAAAACAAAATAGGTTTTTAAGGACAAATTAAGCAAAAGATCTAATGTCGTTAAAAAGTTACGGTAAAAAAAACACAACGGCACGTCAGTGCCAATTTTTTTCACGCGCAGGACTGTTTTGTACCTGTGAAACTAAACAAACGCACAAAACAAATAAAACAAAGTAGGTTTTCATAGACAAATTAAGCAAAAGATCTAAGGTCGGTAAAATTAACGGTCGACCATGATCGAAAAACAGGTCGACCCAATCAACACAGTTGATGATAAGAAAAACCTTCAATCCACTCCAGGACACTCTTAAATTGTTCTTTCAGACTTTGTCATTTAGCTTCTTCTTAAAGCATCAAGCGCGAAAAAAAACAAAGCACGTGAGTGCCAATGTTTTTCACGCGCAGGACTGCTTTGTACCTGTGAAACTAAACAAACGCACAAAACAAATAAAACAAAGTAGGTTTTCACAAACAAATTAAGCAAAAGATCTACGGTCGGTAAAATTAACGGTCGACCATTGTCGAAAAACAGGTCGACCCAATCAACACAGTTTATGATAAGAAAAAGCTTCAATCCACTCAACGACATTCTTAAATTGTTCATTCAGGTTTTGTCATTTAGCTTCTTCATAAAGCATCAAGAGCTAAAAGAAAAAAAAGAAAGGCACGTGAGTGCCAATGTTTTTCACGCGCAGGACTGCTTTGTACCTGTGAAACTAAACAAACGCACAAAACAAATAAAACAAAGTAGGTTTTCATAGACAAATTAAGCAAAAGATCTAAGGTCGGTAAAATTAACGGTCGACCATGATCGAAAAACAGGTCGACCCAATCAACACAGTTGATGATAAGAAAAAACTTCAATCCACTCCACGACACACTTAAATTGTTCTTTCAGACTTTTGTCATTTAGCTTCTTCTTAAAGCATCAAGCGCAAAAAAAAACAAAGGCACGTGAGTGCCAATGTTTTTCACGCGCAGGACTGCTTTGTACCTGTGAAACTAAACAAACGCACAAAACAAATAAAACAAAGTAGGTTTTCTCAGACAAATTTAGCAAAAGATCTACGGTCGGTAAAATTAACGGTCGACCATGGTCAAAAAACAGGTCGACCCAATCAACACAGTTTATGATAAGAAAAAGCTTCAATCCACTCAACGATATTCTTAAATTGTTCATTCAGGTTTTGTCATTTAGTAGCTTCTTCATAAAGCATCAAGAGCTAAAAGAAAAAAAAAGAAAGGCACGTCAGTGCCAATTTTTTCACGCGCAGGACTGCTGTGAACCTGTGAAAATAAACAAATGCACAAAACAAATAAAACAAAATAGGTTTCTAAGGACAAATTAAGCAAAAGATCTAACGTCGGTAAAAAGTTACGGTCGACCATGGTCGATAAATAAATCGACCCAATCAACACGGGTGATGATGAGAAAAAGCTTCAATCCACGACACTGTTAAAGTGTTCGTTCAGGTTTTGTCATTTAGCTTCTTCATAGAGCATCAAGCGCGAAAAGAAAAAAATAACGAAGGCTATTTTTTGTTTTACAAGCAGGACTCCTTGGTACCTATGAAACTAAACAAATGCACAAAACAAATAAAATAAACCAGTTTCTAAAAACAAATTGGGAAAAAATCTAAGGTCGGTAAAAAACATCGGTCGACCATATTCGATAAACAAATCGACCCAATCAACACGGTTAATCATAAGATAAAGCTTCAACCCACGACACTATTATTCTTCACTTAGCTTCTTCATAAAGTATCAAGCGCAAAAAGAAAAAAAAGAATGGCACGCGAGTGCTAATTTTCTCACGCGCAGAACTGCTTTGTACTTGTGAAACTCAACAAACGCACAAAAAAAAATAAAAAAAAGTAGGTTTCTGAAGAAAAATTAAGCAAAATATCTACGGTCGGTAATAAGTGTCGGTCCACAATGGTCGATGAAAGAGTCGACCCAATCAACACGGGAGACGATAGGAAAGAGCTTCAATCCACGACACTGTAAAATGTTCATTCAGGTTTTGTCATTTAGCTGCTTCATAGAGCATCAAGCGCGATAAGAAAAAAATAAGGACTTGTGAGTCCAAATTTTTTGCGCGCAGGACTGCTTGGTACCTGTGAAACTAAACGAGCGCACAAAACAAATACAATAACGTAGGTTTCTAAAAACAAATTGGGATAAAAATGTCAGGTCGGTCAAAAAACGTCGGTCGACTATGATCGATAAACAAGTCGACCCAATGAACACGGTTTAGGATAAGATAAAGCTTAAATCCACTCCACGACACTCTTAAATTGTTCTTTCAGGTTTTATCATTTAGCTTCTTCATAAAGCATCAAGCGCGAAAAGAAAAAAAAAGAAAGGCACGTCAGTGCCAATTTTTTCACGCGCAGGACTGCTGTGAACCTGTGAAAATAAACAAATGCACAAAACAAATAAAACAAAATAGGTTTCTAAGGACAAATTAAGCAAAAGATCTAAGGTCGGTAAAAAGTTACGGTCGACCATGGTCGATAAATAAATCGACCCAATCAACACGGGTGATGATGAGAAAAAGCTTCAATCCACGACACTGTTAAAGTGTTCGTTCAGGTTTTGTCATTTAGCTTCTTCATAGAGCATCAAGCGCGAAAAGAAAAAAATAACGAAGGCCATTTTTTGTTTTACAAGCAGGACTCCTTGGTACCTATGAAACTAAACAAATGCACAAAACAAACAAAATAAACCAGTTTCTAAAAACAAATTGGGAAAAAATCTAAGGTCGGTAAAAAACATCGGTCGACCATATTCGATAAACAAATCGACCCAATCAACACGGTTAATCATAAGATAAAGCTTCAACCCACGACACTATTATTCTTCACTTAGCTTCTTCATAAAGTATCAAGCGCAAAAAGAAAAAAAAGAATGGCACGCGAGTGCTAATTTTCTCACGCGCAGAACTGCTTTGTACTTGTGAAACTCAACAAACGCACAAAAAAAAATAAAAAAAAGTAGGTTTCTGAAGAAAAATTAGGCAAAATATCTACGGTCGGTAATAAGTGTCGGTCCACAATGGTCGATGAAAGAGTCGACCCAATCAACACGGGAGACGATAGGAAAGAGCTTCAATCCACGACACTGTAAAATGTTCATTCAGGTTTTGTCATTTAGCTGCTTCATAGAGCATCAAGCGCGATAAGGAAAAAATAAGGACTTGTGAGTCCAAATTTTTTGCGCGCAGGACTGCTTGGTACCTGTGAAACTAAACGAGCGCACAAAACAAATACAATAACGTAGGTTTCTAAAAACAAATTGGGATAAAAATGTCAGGTCGGTCAAAAAACGTCGGTCGACTATGGTCGATAAACAAGTCGACCCAATGAACACGGTTTAGGATAAGATAAAGCTTAAATCCACTCCACGACACTCTTAAATTGTTCTTTCAGGTTTTATCATTTAGCTTCTTCATAAAGCATCAAGCGCGAAAAGAAAAAAAAAGAAAGGCACGTGAGTGCAAAATTTTATCACGCGCAGGACTGCTTTGTACCTGTGAAACTAAACAAACGCACAAAACAAATAAAACAAAGTAGGTTTCTAAAGACAAATTAAAGCAAAATATTTGAGGCCGGTAAAAAGTGTCGGTCGACCATGGGCGATAAAAAAATCGGCCCAATCAACACGGGTGATGCTAAAAAAAGCTTCAATCCAGGGCACTGCTAAAGTATTCAATCAGGTTTTGTCATTCAGCTCATAAAGCATCAAGCGTGAAAAGAAAAAAATACAACTTGTGAGTTCCATTTTTTACGCGCAGGACTGCTTTGTACCTGTGAAATTAAACAAGCGCACAAAACAACTAAAATAAAGCAGATTTCTAAAAACAAATTAGGAAAAAATCTAAGGTCGGTCAAAAAACGTCGGTCGACTATGGTCGATAAACAAGTCGACCCAATGAACACGGTTTATGATAAGATAAAGCTTAAATCCACTCCACGACACTCTTAAATTGTTCTTTCAGGTTTTATCATTTAGCTTCTTCATAAAGCATCAAGCGCAAAAAGAAAAAAAAGAAAGGCACGTGAGTTCCATTTTTTACGCGCAGGACTGCTTTGTACCTGTGAAATTAAACAAACGCACAAAACAAATAAAATAAAGCAGATTTCTAAAAACAAATTAGGAAAAAATCTAAGGCCGGTAAAAAACGTCGGTCCACCATGTTCGTTAAACAAGTCGACCCAATCAACACGGTTGGTGATAAGATAAAGCTTCAACCCACGACACTGTTAAATTGTTCATGCAGGATTCGCCATTTAGCTTCTTCACGAAGCATCAAGCGTGAAAAGAAAAAAAAATAAGGACTTGTGAGTCCAAATTTTTTTGCGCGCAGGACTGCTTGGTACCTGTGAAACTAAACGAGCGCACAAAACAAATACAATAACGTAGGTTTCTAAAAACAAATTGGGATAAAAATGTAAGGTCGGTCAAAAAACGTCGGTCGATTATGGTCGATATACAAGTCGACACAATGAACACGGTTTATGATAAGATAAAGCTTAAATCTGCGACACTGTTTAACTGTTCATTCAGGTTTAGTCTTTTAGCGTCTTCTTAAAGCATTAAGCGCGAAATGAAAAAAAGAACGGCACTTGAGTGTCATTTTTTTCACACGCAGAACTGAATTGTACCTGTGAAACTAAATCAACGCACATAACAATCAAAACAAAGTAGGTTTCTAAAATCAAATTGGGAAAAAATCTGTAGCAAACATTAGTTCTAGTAATTAGCATAACTTAAACGTACAGCTGAGAAAAGTTAAATCTAAACAAAAAATTAAATTTGAACTTAGAAAAATTTTTGATAAAAATACACAAAAAAAATCCTTTTGATAGATCAATCCATTAGTTCGTTTTGAAATTATTTTCATATCTAATATCTAGTTGTTTCATTCAAATTTATACAAAGCGTATTTGTATACTTACATGACGGTGTAAATGCAAAACGAATTATAATCAAAACGGATTCTAATCGATTATAATAGATTAAAAAGGATCATTTTGCATAATAATTAAATTAGAAACTGGGATAAAAATAATCGATTATAATAACTTTTAATTGAGAATTGACTAGAAAATTAGAAGGAATAATAATCGTTTATAATTGATGATTAATTGTTTTCAAAAAGGGAAATTATAGTCAATTATTATAAAATTATAATAACTTTTTGCTCAATTTTTATAAATTTGGTTGTAAAGTCTTACAATCATAAACTATTATTGTTGAAACTGGATGTGGGTTCGCCATGAACAAAAAACCGACAGATAAGGATACTATTTGAAGAAAAATTGTTGCGGGTGATAAAAGATTTCAGCAGACCAGGGTCGATACAAAAGTGGAGCACCTCAACCCGGGCGTACATGCAGCATAGAAAAACTTCAACCCACGACAAATTCAAATGTCAAATTCAGGATTTGTCAATAAACGTTTTCTTAAAGCATCAAGCGCAAATTGAAAAAAAAAGAAAGGCACGAGCGTGCCAATTTTTTCTCGCGCAAGACTGCTTTAACCGAGCCAGTCATTAATAACAAAAATTGTAAAAAAAAAATCAATGCAATCTAAGGATTTTTGAGCTGAAATGTTGAGCTGAAATTTTTGAACATTAAACTCACGTTAAAATACCAGTTCAGTTTAAAACAGTTCGTTTGTGAAAAAAAATCAATCGGTGCGAAGAATTCAAGTACGTCAGATATTAGCAAAGCATTGCGTATGCGTTGCTCTAATATACAATATTCATTTTCTGACAATAATGATAAACGAATTTACTCGTTCCACATTTTCATCTTTGAAAGCTGTGTGAAAAAAAAATTCAGAAAAATTTTGGGATCGGCAATACCTGATCGCTTAGCAGACCGGAGCTAATTTGAATGAGTGTTTCGTCAACATCCATCTTCTCCTCAGTGAAACCACCAGAAGTGGCAGAGGACAACAAGGACGAGATCGGCTGATTGGCCTCCCCGTTGCTTCTGGCTGTTATCTGAGTTTCCCGGGGGTTCAAAGTGAAGCCCCCTTTGAGCCAAACAGGGCATTGTACACCTGCGATTCCTAATCAGAAGCAAAGTTAACCAAAGGGAAGGAATACCATATATCCATTCCACGCTTAATTCCTTCGCAATCAGTATGTTCACTTTTTAGTAATAGCCTTTTTAATAACGTTGGATTCTGCGGGTCGCAGAGGATGTTTTAAACGCTGCAAGTACATGCCGTTCAATTTTAATCCCTTCCATTCACTTTATGGATTGAAAATCGGTGTTGAGCCACTTTTTTTGTGCTACTCAAGATGCTCATTGAAAAAAATGCACATTTTTCAATTGATTTTCGACAAATCACTTGTTCAAACAAAAATCAAAGACTACAGTGCTGATTTAAATTATCCGGACAAAACGAACAAAACTTGAATTTTTAAACGCGTTTTTCTCAAATTGGGTTAAGATTAGACAAAAAGTGAACAGAACAAAAGTTGCTTAGAATTTCATCGAAATTAATATGGTGCTATTTTTTCTCCGAAATTCTCAACCAAAATTTTACCCCAAAAATGGGTCATTTTGGCTTTTTTCAATTAATCAAGAATTACACTGAAACTACTTTGTTAATTGATGAAAAAATTACATCAAAAGAAGCCTCCTACATAGCCCAACAAAGTTTAAGAAGGGTTAAATCTCCAAAAATTTGCGCACATTGTTTAAAATTTGTTTTAAAACAGAGATTCTGGGTTTTATATAGTAAAAATCAGATTTATTGACTATCAAGTAATAACTTTTTCTCTTATACTGGTTTTTGGAGATTTAACCCTTCTTAAACTTTGTTGGACTATGTAGGAGGCTTCTAATGATATAATATTCTTATCAATTAACAAAGTAGTTTCAGCGTAATTCTTGATTAATTGAAAAAAGCCAAAATGACCCATTTTTGGGGTAAAATTTTTGTTGAGAATTTCGGAGAAAAAATGGCACCATATTAATTCTGGTGAAATTCTAAGCAACTTTTGTCCTCTTCACTTTTTGTCTAATCTTAACCCAATTTGAGAAAAACGCGTTTGAAAATTCAAGTTTTGTTCGTTTTGTCCGGATAATTTAAATCAGCACTGTACTTTGGCCAGTAGTTTAAGGAAGTAAAGGCGCTACGGATTGCAGTTTTTGTTCTAAATAGTCCATACAAACAGGCACTCGTGTGGTTAGCTAGACTTCTTGAAATTTTAGGCTGATCTGAAAAACAGATTACCATTTGCACCATCTTGGTTGACGATACTTCTTCGCACGGCATTAAATAGCGTTCAGTTTTCAATGCCATTTCTTCAGTGAAAAAAAAACCAGACGCTGCTGAACAAAAACGTATTTGAAAATCCTTTATTAATTTCTTTCTTCTTGCTTTTAAAGATTTTAAAAATACGAACGATTTTAGTTCCGAGTAGTGAAAAGACATACAACCTTTGGTTCCCAGCAGGCCGTGTTCGTCGAAATTATAGGACTCGTTTTTGTGGAACGAGTAGGCACACTGCGTGCACTCTATGCGCTGGGATTTGCTGTTTAGACGGTAACCGAGAGAGCAGAGCGCCACGAAATTGTAGCCCAGCTGTCTTCGTTCATTTGGGCCTAAGAGACCCAACGAAGCAGAGGCTGCAAGTCGTGGTGCTATAGAAAGGCAATCTTTCACCAACTCGCTCACCTAGCAAAAGTTACGAGAAATTAAATGTTTTTTTTCTGGCATGTAATTAAGAGTAGACAATTATTTTTTTCGCTTTTTAAAACAATGAGCCAAGTAAAAAGCAGTTACAATATGACCAGCAAAAGGCGTCAACGAATGTTTCAGTTTTGATCGACCAAAAAATTTGGATTTACAAAAAAGTTTTTAAATATTGTTCAAAAAAACTTTTTAAGCATATTTATTTGCTCTTTGTTAAAAAAAAATTGTAAAATACAGTGCTGATTTAAATTAACCGCACAAAACGCGTTAAACTTGAAATTTAAAACCCGTTTTTCTCAAATTGGGTTGAGTTTAGATGAAAACTTATGAAGACAAAACTTGCTTAGAAATTCGGGCCCGAAATTTTACTCCAAAAACAGGTCATTTTGGCTTTTCTTACTTAATCAAAAATTACGCTGAAGATACCAAGTCGATCACAGACATAATTATATCAAAGTGAGCTCCTTACGTAGCCCAACAAACTTTAAGAAGGGTATATTCTCCAAAAAAAATTGAAAATTGTTTAAAAATTGTTTTTAAGTAAATAGTTGGCATTTTTTATAGTAGAAACGACCTTTTTTGTCTATCAAACAAAAATAAATTAACTTATACAATGTTTTGGAGAATATACCCTTTTTAAAGTTTGTTGGGCTACGTAAGGAGCTCACTTTGATATAATTATGTCTGTGATCGACTGGGTATCTTCGGCGTAATTTTTGATTAACTAAGAAAAGCTAAAATGATCCATTTTTAGGGTAAAATTTTGGGCCCGAATTTCGCAAAAAAAATTACACCATATTAATTCTGCTAAAGTTCTAAACAAATTTTGTATTCATCAGTTTCCACCTAAACTCAACCCAATTTGAGAAAAACGGGTTTTAAATTTCAAGTTTAACGCGTTTTGTCCGGTTAATTTAAATCAGCACTGTTTGAATAATTTTTGAGTCTTTTTTGAAAATCATTCTTCCGGCACAACAATTATAGATGTCCTTTAAATGGAGTATACATTTTTATGAACCAAAAAATTGATCCAACGGTTAAGCATCTGCAAACTTTGGTTGATAGCTATAAAATGAACACATTGCAAATTAAATATAATAGAGACAAATAAACTGAAAAAAACTATACCTCAATCAAATCTATCTCTTTTGTTCCATCACTTCTCTCCACATCCGACTGTTCCCACTCTATCTCATCATAAGCTTTTTTCACCATTCTCAATTAAGTTTTCTAAACATACATATTAAATTTAAAAAAAAAACACGGTTACCGTTTAAGAAAGAAAAGTGAGAAACACAGGTGCCAAATAATTTGTAGCCGCAAACTTTGAGATTCAAAAAAGATTTGGAATCAATTTTTATCCTGAGGTTTTCAAATTGTGAAGCAAAAATTTCTAATCTGTTGTTTTTTTGGTAAAAACTCAAAAACAGCATAAGACCACAAATGACAGGATTCCAAAAACAAATAAAAAAGAAACCTCAGCCATTCAGATTTTTATGCGTCAAATGAAATGTAGGAAGATATTTATCTTTTTTTTTCTGGTTACAAAGAACTTCTAGTTAATTCAAAGAGGCTGAAATTTTCATGTTTTTTTTCATACATTAGTCATTTTACACATATTTCTGATCAATTTAATAACAAAATGATGTAGAATGATTTATCTAAAAGGGAAAGGACCAACAAACTGCTGTTGTACCCTTGGTTATAAAATTAAATCCGTTTTTGTGGCTATTGTTTTGGGCTGGGTAAAGTTAACTCACGCTCACGCAACGAGCATTTTAGCCACGACGCTGTCACCCTCAAGCATGTTTTTCTAGCCTCGACACTGTGGTAAAAAAAATGCAACAAATAAGGTCTTTTTGTTTTAAGATTTTAATGGGAGAATGCTTTTCTTTGTAATCGAACGTTCAAAAGAGCAACAGAGTATGTATTTTCAGGCAGTTCTTAAACACTTTTCGATTTTTTGTATCCTTTGTCACCATTTTTTTAAATTCGTACAGTTTTCGCAGTTTTTTCAGTTTTTGCGTAAATCGTGTCAGCGGTCGAGAAGTAAATTTATACAACTATGTGGAGAGAAAAAGTTATTAAAAATTTTAAAATTTTTTCATTTTTTGTTTGTAACGTTTATCAAGTTTTTAACAAAAAAAAACTACCTTAGACTTTTGTTTGGTGATCGAGCAGGAAAATATGATTAAAATCAATCGCCGAAAAAAGCAAAGTGGTGAATTTGGTTTAAAATTGTACTTGAATAATTTTGCGACTAAAGAAACTTAGTTCAGTTTGAGAGAGATTAAAAAGTTCTAATCTGTTTTATTTTAGTTTGCTCTAAATCAATTAGATTTTATTGTTTTGTATATTGTTACTTACAAGTTGCTCATAGAACACTGAGAAAACTTTGAAAAATTTGCAAAAGTTACAAAAAATGAACAGGTCAAAAACACGCAGAAAAAGACAGCACTGGAAAATAAAACACAAAGAACCCAGCTTGAAAATGTTCCTTTGTTGTTTTTTTTTCGTTATACTGTTCAAAATTTATCTTTTTGCGATTTTCAAACTTGGATCATAATCCTTGTTTTTTTTGGATAAAACTAAGCAATTCGAAAAACTCTGATTTTTTTTTCAAACATATTAGTGTAGTCAAAGTTTTAAAAATTTTGGGTCGCTTAAAAAATTGAAGAAATAATCTATAGTTTTTGGATTGAAAAAACTTTATGATTGTATACGTTTTAATTTCTTTTTTTTTCACTAAAAAATGAAAAATTTATTCGAAAAAATGTCAGCCCCATTTTGAGTGCAACATATGCTCTCAAATTAATCATAAGTTTACGTGTAGTAAAGTTTTTGCGATGCAGTGTTTGATTTGGTTCATTAGTTCTAAATTAGAGTCTTTACAGAGGAAAAAAAATTAATTCATCAGACTCGTAAAAGTGCATACTCCCAAAACAGTTCAGATTTTCCCAAGACACTAAAAACTCCCCTTTTTTGCCAAAACTTCAAGTGCAAATTCTTCAAAAAAAAATCCAAAAATGCAACACCCTTTCCTCTCAAAATGAGTATAAAATGGCATCATAGCTAAAAAAATTTTTAAACCTGATAAAAAGGCGTCCAACATCCCACCCCGTATAACCGCCCTTAAAAGAATCATGAGGATATAATATGGACCAGAGAAAATGGACCTCGGTTTAAATGCATAAATTTCACTTCGTTACTGGAATTCGTTCGGCCAAAATTAAGATTTTTAAATGCTGATTTGCTAAAAGCCCTTTTTTTCTTATCATTAGTTTTACCGTCCTGCCAGTAATTTTTTTAAAAAAGTGTCTGCACAAAAAATAGACCAATTTTTTTAAATCAAATTGAAATTATTCGACTTTTTTTCCTGTGCAATAACCAATGCATTTGCACAAGAATTTCAATTATAATAATTTTCAGGTCTCAGCGTTTTGTGATTTACAAAGTTTAGTTGCTTATTGGAAGGGAAACAACACAGGGGCCGGAAAAATGACTAAGACGTTTAGTTACAACTAAAATTTTAATTTCATTTTTAAGTTCATGTTTTATGCCGTTCCAAAAAAAAGAAGCCAAAACATTATCCTGGTTTGTTAATAAAAATTTTAAAACCATAAACTGAATTGATTATTTGATGTTTCTGATCACCAAGAGATAATATGTTTCTGTCTTTTTACCGGTTTCTATCGGTTTTGATGAATGACTAGATAATTGAGCATTTAATTTTATATTATCTCTTAATCCATCAGATCTTCACTGTGTGTACTTTTTGCCCATAAATAATAGCAAAATCGAAAATTATTTCTAAATGGAGGTTGTTTTTGATTGCAAATCTAGTACACGCTTGTTTTCTTTGTAAAATAAAATCGTTTCTGGCTGAAACTAAATTTTTTGTAGAATGCGATCTTACCTGAAAAGATACACTCGGTTTTTTTATTTTTGGTATCCGTCTTAAGCAAGTTAGCTTTAAATTAACTTTTTACGACTCTTAGTGGAAGTGAGTCTTTGCTTAGATCTTTGGTTTGACGTGGTGAATACTTTTAGAATTGCAACTACCAAACACAAAACAGACTAATCGTTTGTTTCGACAGTATGTCGGCATACTATTTAACTGAGTCAACTTAATTCGTTATGTCAACATCAGGACTTATATAATAATCACGTATTTATATGACGTAAGAAATTCAAACACAAAACATAGCTCAGTGAGCCGATTCCAATGGAGCCGACTCTCATTTTGAGGCATCCAGTGGGAGCGTTAGCGCGCGTATCGGCTTTGAAGGAAAACCCAGCTCTAACTTTTATTTAGAGACTCGCCAATTTGTTTACAAGTTTGCAACACGTTGGTGAATTGCCGCGGTTACTATTTATTTGGTCAATACAGCATATTTTAAGCAAATGGTAAAAACCGAATTTTTATCCTGCTTTAAAGTAGGCCTTTGTGAAGTTGTTTTTTGGATGTTTCCAACTTTTTTTTTGATTTTTCGCATGATTGGCATATCGGATATTTGCATGGTGGCCAATTTAGTTTTTAATAACCTATTTGTACAATTAAAACCGGGGCCTAGGAAATTAGACGATGAGCAAATTAGACGGATGCTACAAAAACGAAATTAGACGAAATTTTTTTTTACATATCTGGCATTTTAGACAAAAGGGAAAGGGCCAAAAAAAATTGTTCTTAAGAGTCAAGTTTCACAAATACAAAAAGAACATACAATGTCAATACCTATCAAAACAACTAGTTTAAATGAACACAAAATGTCTAATCTAAATATTACAGGAGAGTTTTGAATTGAATAAATTATGCATGATTGACTTCTAAAGTTTTTGGCCACCGAAATTGAACTGTTGTCAACAAACAATTTTATTTTTCTAACGCAATTTGTGTGCAAACAAAGTTAATGTCTCTCACTATCGTCTATTTTCTTCTCACAATTGCAGTTTTGCAAAACCGTCTAATTTCCTTTTAAGTAACTCCGTCTAATTTGCTTATCGTCTAATTTCTCAACCCCCATTAAAACCTTTTTCTTTTTGATGAAATAAAGCTTGTTCGATTTAATTAAAAGCATCATAAAATCAGTACGCCTAACTACATTATAATTTATTGTTTTTGCCTGTAGTCAAAATGACAAAGTTTTGTGGTGTGAACGTTTTTTTCTCAAGACAAACTTCGACTGTTAACTAAAAAATTTGAACGGGTTATTTTTGTATCAGCCGAAATGTATCGATGTCCTGCGCTCAAACTTACAATGATATTACCCTTGTCATTATATTTTGTAAAACTATGAGGATTTAAATTCTGCCAATATGGTCAATTTGTGACAATTAACGAGCATTATCAAAATGATTGAAACAGGCTATGCGTTATAACTGCTACGTTACTGGGAGCAAAAGTTATCACTTCTTATTTTATTTCGCGTGTGGAGGGCTGATTTAAAAAATTACATTCAACTTTTTTCATTTTGTTTTCAAAAAATTCATTATTTTCAAGGCAAGCGAAATTCCATAGACTCTAAAATGCAGTCGAGACATTCAAGGCAGTACTCTGATACGAGCAGTCTTGTTATATTGTATAAACTGTTTAAGTGAATAGTCTTCAGCCTAAAAAATATCGCAACATTTCCCTTAATTCTTTTCTACATTGCCTCAAGTTACGGTAATTTTTCTTAATTGAACGATACGTAGTTTCAGTTTGGCCGTGATTCGAATGCAAAAACTGAAGTCTTTATCTGTTTATTAAAATTAAACTAGGGTGGAGATAGTTATATTTATATATTAAGTTATAGATAGTTATATTTGTTCAGCCAATCAGATTTGAGCATAGTACACGCAGACTTTACTGCTTGAATTTTTTTTCATTCATTTTATGTTGAGATTGTTCAATTGGTATGTGTAATAGGGAAATTGTTCACATCGATCAGTTTTATCAAAATTCTTAATTTTTGAGACAGTCTTCCATGTTTTTGAGCCTAAATTGGCAAACTGAAATGTATTTTTTCAATATTCTTTCATATTTTTTCATATTTATACAAAAAAAAAAATCTGTACCAAAAGAATGTCTATCAATGCTGATATCCTTCTCTAGAAAAAAAATGACTCTATCATCTTTCAGATTTGTGGAACCAAACTAAGTATTCAGTATTTAGAAGCCCTGATAGTTCTTTTGAGATCTATGGAGTAGTGTTTGCAATAAAAAAGTGACAAATTTTCAAAAAGAAATC